TAGTCCAAGTACTTAGGAGGCCCAGGCAAGAGGACTGGAATTTGGGGTCAGTTCTGTCTGCATAGTGAATTAATGGCCAACCTGGGGTATATGAGAACTTTGTGTCAAAAGCAAAGGATAGAATGCTTGCATGTGTAAGGTCATGGATTTCATCTCCAGCGGCCTCCTTAAATGAAAGTCTGTCTCCTAATGATCATATAACATCTCTGGTCTTTGGTTTACTTATAAGTAGGGTGGTAGTACCTACACCACAGAGAATTATCCAGCATAGTTGTGAGGTCCCTTTGCCTTCTCTGCATTTCTATGTGGGAGCTGAGGGTTAGCAGTTTTATTTTAAATGAGGTTGCCACAAGAAAGGAGAAAGCATGAAGCAAATAGAAAGATGTGTGCCCTGGCTGCTGTGTGGTTATTTCTGTGATGCTGGTCAGTTTCTGCTTTCCAAAATCCTGAAGGGGTTTTTGACTGTGGTCACATTTCTTGTCCATGAAAAAAGTTAAGGCCAGGTGGTGGTGGTGCACACCTTTAATCCCAGCACTCAGGAGGCAGAGACAGAGGCAGATGGATCTATGTAAATTCAAGGCCAGCCTGGTCTACAGGCTCCAAAGCTACATAAATAAAGCCTGTCTTGAAAAACTGGGGGGAAAAAAGGAGAGAGAGAGAGAGAAAAGAAAGTTAAATTATGAAAAGTTTGTTGCCTGTACCCATACCATTATACAGTAAGCCATAAAGTTGTTAACCTGTCTGCCCTGTTAGCCTTCTCCTTTAGTCCTAGAGAACATATGAATTTCTGGGTTAAGTAGAAAATAGATGTTGCAGTAGTTCTGTGTTGTAGACTTCGTAGCACCGTTCAGCAAAGAACTATGAGCAGAGCTGCTCTTTTAGTGTGGCTTGTGGTTTGGTTTTGTTTCTATTTGAACTTTTTTATGCTTGCAGAAAGTCAGTGCTCACTTATTTGGCGTTTTGTTGTTTTGGGGGAAGAGTTAAATATATACTTAAAGTCTCCATGTAAGTCACTTCAGTAATTGTGCACATGGATTTGATTTATCTGGTCTTTTTACTAGGCTGCGATTTTTTTTTTTTTTAAGCACAGGAACTACATGGGACTGGATAAATACTTGAGTGGGTAAGTGTGCTTGCTGCACAAACATGACCTAAGTCTGGTTACTACACCCACAGTAAACTACATGTGCTAGTGTATTCTGGAGAGGAGGAGCTGAGTCAGATCCCTGGGTTTGCTGGCCAGCCAGCCTAGCCTACTTGGTGAGCTCTAGGTCAATGTAGAAACCTCTTATAAAATGAAGTGGAGAGTAATTAAGAACACCAGCAACGCCAGCCTCTGTTCCCCACATACAGGTGCATGTGCACCTGCACACATTTAAATAAAAGAATGAAAGATGCAATAATTAGAGAATGCAAGCAGAATTGAAAGGCAGCCATTTAAGATCTTTTAGTGATCTGTACCAAGGGTAGGAATGAACTCAAATAGGAAAACTAAAGGAACGTCGGGTGGGTTAGATGTTGGAGGGTTTCTAGACTGTGTCATGCTCCTGCACCCTTTCCCAGTTACCTCTCTGAATCTTTGTTGTGCTCTGTAGACCGTCTTCCCTCCCTACCTGCACTGAGTCAGCTGGACACAGGGTGTTTATAGAAACTGTCCACCCTAGTGTTTCTTCTGCTCTGGAATTCTGAGTGTAACTACCATCACACATACTGCATGATCTTCACACTCTGGAGTTTGTCTTCTGAGGGGCAGAAAAGGACATCTGTTTTAGTCTTTCCATACTATAGGGGTTTGAATGAAAATGGCCCCATAGTCTCATAGAGAGCGGCACTATTTGGAGGTGTGGCCTTGTTGGAGGAAGTGTGTCACTGGGAATGGTCTTCGAGGTTTCAGATGCCCAAGCCAGGCTCAGTGTCACTCTCTGTTCCTGCTGTCTGCCCATCCAGATGTAGAACCCTCAGCTACCTCTCCAGCACCATGTCTGCCTGCTCCCATGTTTCCCACCATGAGGATATGGACTAAACTCTGAACTGTAAGCCACCCCAATTAAATGTATTCCTTTGTAAGAGTTGCTGTGGTCTTGGTGTCTCTCCCATAGCAATAAACCCTAAGACACCTACCTAGTACCAAACATGATCCTGGGACAGGACCAACACCCCTGGTGAAGAAGCAGTGTCAACTATAGCCACCTTGTGCTGTTACCGTGTGCCACAAGTTAGAGTGACCACATCCGCAGGATGTCCGGGGTGTTTCCCACCCATTTCTAAAGTTCCATTTTCCTTTTTGTTTTTATTTCACCTTAATGTATGTCTGTGTACCATGTGCATGGCTGGTGCCCATGGAGGCCAGAGGAGGGAGTCGGATCCCCTCGAACTGGAATTATAGATGGTTATGAGCCTCTGGGGACTGGGGACTGAACTTGAGTAGGGTCCTCTGCTAGCCATCTCTCCAGCCCCTCTGCTTTCTTTTTCATTTTGTACCTCCTGCTTTACTTTTGTGGTGATTGACTTCCAGTTTCACTTACTAAATGAAAGAAATCGTGTAACAGCAGGAAATTAATTTGTGTTTTCTCTTTAAGAAAAGACTTGGTGGGGTTTTGCGGGTGGATGGAGGTCACTCTCGTGCATGGCACAGGTGTGGTCAGAGGATGGTTCTGGGAGTTGGTCTATGGGATCCAGGGATCAAGTTTGCATGGCAAGCACTTTTTATCCACTTAGCTAGCTTGCTGGCGTGTATAGTTTAAGGGTTTCAGTGACCATCTTCCAATTGAACCCTCAAAAGTGTTGTCATGTAAAACTGAGTCTTTCAAATCCTACTATGCTTAATAGTTTTTAAAATGTTATACCACATAATAAGGGGATCATTGTACTGACACAGAGTCGTGTATCCTCAGCATCTAAGACAGTCTATCTCAGGAGTATAAAGATAGTGCAGATTCATCATCATGCCTCAAGGAAAACAATTGATGATATTTTGTTTTATAACAGAATACTTAAATCATTGTTTAAAAATGAAATGGGGTGGGTGGTAGCACACACATTTAATCCTGCAGAGGCAGGCAGATCTCTGAGTTAGAGGCCAGCCTGGCCTATAGAGTGAGTTCCAGAATAGCTAGGGCTACACAAAGAAACCCTGTCTCCAAAATGAATGAATGAATGAGGGGCTAAAGAGGTGAACTTTGATTTAAGCATACTTGCTGCTCTTGCAGAGAACCAAAGTTCACATCTTAGCACCCAGATCAGGCAGTTGACAACCACCTGTGACTTCAACTGTACCTGTGTGAATTGAATGCTCTCTCTGGACTCTGCAGGCACACACACACACACACACACACACACAAATTTAAAAAAAGAAACCTTTAAAAACAGAATGGAAGCCAGGCATAGTGCCACACACACCAAACCTCAGCAGTCAGTAGGTGAAAGCAGAAGCATCAGAACATAAGAAAGGTAGCTAGATTTGGCTATCTCACAAATTCAAGACCAGCCTTAGACTACCTTAGACTTTTTCTTAGACAAACAAACAAAACCTTAGAGTGGTCTAAAAATATCACCTGGACAGAAAACAACCCTGTTGCAAGGAGAAGCTGCTTGTTCGTCCTGCTGCCTGGCTAGCTTACATTCGAAATAACCACACAGAAACTTTATTAATTAAAACACTGTTTGGCCATTAGCTCTAACTTCTTATTTATTGGCTAACTCTTACATCTCAGTTTAACCCATTTCTGTGTATCACCACGTAGCGGTAGCTTACAAAGGAAAGATTCACCATGTCTGATTCTGGTGGCTCCATGGTATCTCTCCTACTCTGCCTCTCTTCTTCCCAGCATTCAGTTCTGTCTTCCCTGCCTACCTAAGTTCTGCCCTATCAACTAGGCCAAGGCAGCTTCTTTATTTTTTAACCAATGAAAACAACACACAAACAGAAGGGACTCCTACACCACAACCCCACCACCAATAGGAAGGAAATTGCAGGGGTTCTGGAGATAAATGTCTTTGAGTTAAGAGCACACTGCTCTGCCAGAGGACCCATATCATGTGACTCACAACTGCCTGTAATTCCAGCTCCAGGGGATCTGTCACCTCTGGCCTCTGCAGGCACCTACACTCACTTGCACATATCATACAGATGTATACGCATATATGTGGTTTTAAATAATAAAAAATATTTAAGGGAAATTAGAAAGATTAAAATGGGAAGACTTAGCCATTTAGTATCACATTACTAAAGTATGCTGGGGGAAGAGTAAAGAAGGAAAAGTATTTGGATTTTTCTGGGCTGTACTTATATTTAAAATCTCTTAGATCCTAAAATGATGGGGAATGGTAAATGTGACAGAACCCAGTCACCTTTAGTTCTGGGCTGTACTTATATTTAAAATCTCTTAGATCCTAAAATGATGGGGAATGGTAAATGTGACAGAACCCAGTCACCTTTAGAGAAGACTTGGTGGGATTTTGTGTGTGTTGGGGTGGGGGGGGGTGAGGGCTTTACTCCTTCCCTCACGTGCCAGGCAAGGTCTCTACTAATCTGTTGGTGTTGATTTGTTCTTGAGACAGCCTTGCTAAACTTTCTAAAGCAAGCCTTGCTAAACTTTCTAAAGCAAGCCTTGAACTGCAGTCCTCCTGCCTCAGCCAGAGTAGCTGAGATTGCAGGCCTACACCACCAACCTGGTGAGCTGGGAAGTTTTGGTTGAGTTGCAGCTTATTTTTTTGTTCTTTCCATTGCCTCTGTTTTTATGAGACTTCACTTAGGAAATCTATTCCATATTTTAAAATTTTCATTAAATCTAATTAAATGAAAGTTGTTCTAGTACCTGTTGTAATAAGTTCTTTATAGCATAGTTTAGAGCAACAATCTAGATTAAAACACATAAGTTATCATTGCTCTGATCATTCAGACAACAGGACGTGAAGAATTACATTTCTCAGTGCAGTCATCATTGGTGTATGCTCAGGAGTTGCTTCTCTCTAACAGGTGGTATTTTTCTCTTGTTCAGGGCACTGTTTGGGGACAGCCATATCTCTGATTCCATAAAGCGGTTTTCTATGTAAAGTTGGCAGAGAATCAGAACAATGCCTCCACGGCCATCGTCGGGTGAACTGTGGGGCATCCACTTGATGCCCCCACGAATCCTAGTGGAATGTTTACTCCCAAATGGAATGATAGTGACTTTAGAATGCCTCCGTGAGGCTACACTAATCACCATCAAGCATGAACTGTTTAAAGAAGCCAGAAAATACCCTCTGCATCAGCTTCTGCAAGATGAATCTTCTTACATTTTTGTAAGTGTTACCCAAGAAGCAGAAAGAGAAGAATTTTTTGATGAAACAAGACGGCTTTGTGACCTTCGGCTCTTCCAACCCTTTTTAAAAGTAATTGAACCAGTAGGCAACCGTGAAGAGAAGATCCTCAATCGAGAAATTGGTATGATACAATTTTCAGCTAACTGACATTGTCATTACTAAACTACAAATAACTGGCATCTACTCTTTGTTTCATTGTTAAGATACTTTGCCTGATTACTACCTTTGTAATCTTTAAGTAAATTTCTTTTTTTAAAAAAAATCTAAAGTAGTGGTTTTTTCCCCTGAGCTATAGAATTTTTAAAACTTTGATATTCTGTAGGATTTTCCATAAAAAATGCAATTAGGAGGAGGACTTAGAATTGCTATAGCCAAGTTTATTTCTCTGTAAAAAAGTTGACAGTGGTCCTATTTTAATATTAATATGTGTATGGAAAATACATATGTTTAAAATGCTTAAGGCTTCATCAGCTTTTAAAATAAATTCATCAGTGATTTTTTTTTTTAACTCAGAAGCTTTCTTGACTCCTAGGCTTTTCCAAATGTGCACAGTTCTCAGTTTGTAAGAACCACATCTTCCCTGCATTCTTTATAAATACCTTATTTTTCAGGTTTTGTTATTGGCATGCCAGTGTGTGAATTTGACATGGTTAAAGATCCAGAAGTCCAGGACTTCCGAAGGAACATTCTGAATGTTTGCAAAGAAGCCGTGGATATGCGGGATCTCAACTCGCCTCACAGCAGAGCAATGTATGTCTACCCTCCCAATGTAGAGTCTTCCCCAGAATTGCCAAAGCACATCTACAACAAGTTAGATAAAGGTAAGGAGACCGTCAGCAGTGAACTCCTTGTCACTGCTCTGATTTCTTCTGCACCATTGCTTTTTGCTGGCTGGATGCTGAGCTTGAAGACAAGGTCTGCTGCACCACAAGAGTAGAGTGCTGAGTTATAACTTGTAGACAGGAAGCACACCCTCCCTAACTCAGCCCTTGGTGGTGAATGCTTCTCTCGCTCAGACTAAAGAACTGAGTTTAGAATTCACTGTTGCCAGAATGTGAACAAAATTAGAGCTGCTTATCTTTTTCTTTTTTATAAGTAAAAATAGAAGGAGCTGTTGTCTAGAGCGTTTGCCTTATGTATACAAGGCTGTGAGTTTGATACCCAGCACCACCGCAAGCACAGATACATTTTGATGATCTGTCCTCTGACAGGAAAACACTGTTGTGCTTCACTGTGGTGTTTTTACTTTTCTAAAGACAAGTTTCAAGAAGTTTGTGCTCTGTTCCTCTAACCATAACTAGAAACAATGTCTAGTTAACCTGACTGACTAGAGGTGAGGATTTGGGGGAATCAGGCAATGTTCACATCTGGTAGATTCTCAGTGTCCATGACTTAATTGGTCTTAATAAGAGAAAAATTAAAAAGTCCTTTTCCCTTTCCCTGTTTATTCTCTAACTCTTCTTCCGTCTTTTCTTCATTCTAACGATGGTGCTCCCTTTGAGTAGTGCTTTCCTTTGAGTAGTTCATGAACTGGTAAACTTGAGACCCTCTCCTGTCTTTCTGTGAAGCGGAGATCAGCTCAGCCTTGGGTTTTAGTGATTCACTAGGCTAGTCAGAAAGGAGCCAAGGATGTTGTGTGAAAGTCTGCCAGATGTGAGCATTGCCTGCTTCCAGCAGATCTTCACCTCTAGTTAATGTTAACTGGACATCCTATCTGGTTGTAGTTACAAGAACAGAGAGTGAAAACTTCTTGAAACTTGTCTTCAGGGAGATGAATCGACACAGTGATTCATCCAACAGTGTTTTCTTGTTACAGGACAAATCATAGTGGTGATTTGGGTAATCGTCTCTCCAAACAATGACAAGCAGAAGTACACCCTGAAGATCAACCATGACTGTGTGCCAGAGCAAGTCATTGCTGAAGCCATCAGGAAGAAGACTCGGAGTATGCTGCTCTCCTCTGAGCAGCTGAAACTCTGTGTCTTAGAATACCAGGGCAAGTATATTCTGAAAGTGTGTGGCTGCGATGAGTACTTCCTAGAAAAGTATCCTCTGAGCCAGTACAAGGTGAGTGATGTATGCCCATGCCAGGGCTGCATATGTTCTTAGCCTGTACTTTGATGATTAATAGTTAATATTAGCAAACAGAATTCATAAGCTTATTTATTAGCATATTTTAATTATGTTTAATACTAATAGTAAGTTTCACTGAAATGACATCTTCCTTTGTGAGTTGTGTCTTTTTGTTTTGTTTTGTTTCTGCCACTACCAGAGATTGAACCTAGGACCTCATGAATGCCAGCCAATTCTTCCACCACTGAACTATCTATCCTCCTGTGGTCATTTGTGTCATATATGTAGATGATGTGTTTTGATCATAGTCAATCCCACTGAGATGAATGAGTTTCCCTACTCCCTTGCATTCAACCAGGCCCCTTTCTATTTAAGTTTATATTTAAATAATATAATTATTTGAGAGCCTAAAGATGTGGCAGTTATACTAACTACAAAATAGGGAGTATTTCTTGACTTTTTTGCTCCCCAATAATGATACGGGGACAATGTTAAAGTAGAGCGTTGTTTATTAAGATCACTACTGACCTTTCTTCTCTTTCTCTGTCCTTTGAAAAGCAACGGTGGTGTGCGCACCAATCACTGTTTTATAATACGGACACCCGGCCTTCAGTTGTTGATAGATAGGAGAATATGGAGTTACGATGTGTATGGAGTAGCATAGACCAAAAACGTGTATTCTGGGGGCCACCAAGATGTAAAGAGAGAGCCAGGTTTAAACTTCTTTTGAATTCCATGCATGTACATTAATACATGTACATTAATAAGCAAATATAATTTTTAAAGAACCTTTATCTTGGATTTGGGGAGATGGGCCATTTGGTAAAGTGCTTTGGTGTACAATCTGAGGAGGACCTGTGTTTAGATCCCTAGCACCAACATAAGAACCAGGCTTGGCAACCTGTGCCTGACATCTCAACACTGGGGAGGCAGAGGCAGGAGGATCCCTAAAGTTCTCTGGTCAGCCAGCCTAGTCCTTACTGAGCTCCTTGTTCCCTCTCCCAATAAAATAAGTGGACAGTGATTGAGGAGCATTCCTGACCTTGAACTCTGCACACACACATCCTGCTATTTCAAAACTCAGATCAGTGAATTTTAACATTTTTTAATTTCTCTATAGCTCTGGGTATCATTTGCTTTTTGTTTTTATTGTTTGGAATTTTGTTTATTCAAGACGGGGTCTCATATAGCCCAGGCTGGCTTCAAATTGGCCATGTAGCTAAGAATGACCGTAAACCTTCGTCTTCTCCATCCACGCCTCACATGCTAGAATTACCTGTGTAGTGACCATACCAGCTTGCTTATGGACCTTTATTGATTCAGTAAAATAAATGTTTCTCAGGAACTGTGTGGAGGGAGGGGTGTGGAGTTTGACCCTGGTGACGTATGACGGGGACTGTGACAGAGGAAGCTGCTCTTCCCTGCAGTGATCATTTCTGATCTTTGTTTTTAGTGTTTTGCAGTTAAAAGTAACATAATAGTGTCAAAAATTGATCCTAGTTTTTTACTTTATAAATATATTCAGAAATTCTTTGAAACTAATTCCAATTTAATAAATAAATAGCTGGTAACAAGTGTGGCCTATGTTTAATTTTTAAAATCACCTTTGTAAATGCTCATAACATTCCTACATGTTATCTTTGGGATGAAGAACCTCATGGGAAGTGGTTGCTTCTCTCACTCTGGTCTCTTACAGTACATCAGAAGCTGTATAATGCTGGGGAGGATGCCCAACTTGATGTTGATGGCCAAGGAGAGCCTTTACTCTCAGCTGCCGATGGATAGCTTCACAATGCCATCCTACTCCAGGCGTATCTCCACAGCCACGCCCTATATGAATGGAGAGACATCTACAAAATCCCTCTGGGTTATTAATAGTGCACTCAGAATCAAAATTCTTTGTGCAACCTATGTAAATGTAAATATTCGAGACATTGATAAGGTAAAGTCACAAAGACTGATGTTTGTTCTATGGAAGTCATTGTTTTATTAGCCTAATTTGAGCACAGTGTAAACTATTGACCTGTGATAGCTTTTCACACGACTTAAAACACAAATCTCAGAAAATATAAATGAGTCATGATTTCTTTTTGAGTTACACCTACCTCAGCTTTCACACAGTTAATCTAGAATTGTAATATCCATAACTGTAGGCTTTTTAAAGTAGCAAGTTTTACAGTCTGTTTAGTTAAAAACAGTGATTGGACCTAAAGTGAGACTTTTTATAGTCTTTATTTAATCACATTGTGTGAAAGTCTTGACATCTTATCACAGAGCTGTTCATGTTTTAGGGAACTGTTCCTCTAGCTTCAGGAGTTTGAAGGAATACCTAGCACCAACTTATCTTGGAAAAGTGAAGGCCTCTGTGTTTTATGCATAGTTCCTGGGCTGGTGGCTATGCTAACTTTCTACTGGGTCGGAGACCCATCATTAGTGGGCAAAGGCAACAGTTAACTGTAAATTTATACAAAAAAGCCATCTGAACAAAAGATCTCATGATTCTCTCATTTACATCAGTTAAGTTATTTTGTAGTGCTTGGTTCTGTTGAGTGTTCATAATACCTATATATGAGTATGGATGTGTGGGTGTGTACACACTATATATAGTGTATATTTTCCTTCTCTTTCAGATCTATGTTCGCACAGGTATCTACCATGGCGGAGAACCCTTATGTGACAATGTGAACACTCAAAGAGTACCTTGTTCCAATCCTAGGTAAGAGGGGTTTGGACATATTTCATGTCACTAATTTTATGCAAGTTATCACATTTCCATTATTTACATAAAGAACATAAGGACTTTCTGTGACTGACTCTGTCAAATTTTATCCTAAATGTTTTTCTGCTTCACTCCTGCCATTGTTTCAAGGAGTAGAGGGAACATGGTCAAAGTCTTGTTCTTGATGAAAAAGTCAAGACCTGAGCTCTAAGGCAGTCTCCTTCATGTGATTCCCATGAACACATAGATAAGGTCTTTGATAAAAGGCATTTACTGTGGGAAAGAAGGTTCCTGGGCACCTTGGACTCACTCTTGCTTAGATATGCTGAGGAAATGGAAGGTGGTCCGGAGCTTTCAGGCCTCTTTGGTTTTTCTTGTGAGAGAACCCTGGATTTCCTAGCAGTAGAGTGCCCGGAGAGCTCGCTGACACTGTAGATTGATGGTGGACCTTACAGAGTGCAGTGGGGCGCACAAGGAAGACTGAGTTCTGACCTTCAGAACACATGCCAGTCTTGTTACTACATTTTCAGAGTTAACAACTCTCCTAGAGCCTAGGGCAAGACAAGTTCAGGGAGATGGTCACTTGTCCGTCAGGGGGACACCTGAGACACAGCAGGTCAGTCAGGGCAGCATTGAGGTTAGATGGTACACAGACAGCCAAGAGTTGTTCAAACAACAGTTTTAACAAATTTCCCACTCATACTTCTTGTTTGCCAAAGTGGGCTGATTGTAGGAGATTTAGAAAAAACTAGTATTCTTGAGGACATTATAGACAACCTTTTTACAAATTAAGGAAAATCTATAAACCCACCAATAAAGAATTCCAGGAGCTTCAAGAAGAGGCTGCAAAAAAATCTGTCCTGGTTATTTGAAAGCCAAAAGTAAGATTTTTAGGAAAATAAGAAGGAAGACTTCATAGTAGTTGGTTACAATGTTGATATTTTAGAAAATTAAAGTAACTGTTTAAGCCAGCTGGGGTAGCGCATGCAGGTTTTCACAGCTTTCCACAGCTGGAGGAAGGGTGATCAGTTCAACTTTTATCTCCAGCTACATAGTAGCTCAAAGTCAGCCTGGGCTGCATGAACCATCCTGACCAAACAAACAAGTTATACAGTTCTTATGTTCCTCTGCACCTCGTGAAATCTCTGGTTAGGGACTGGAGAGATGGCTCCACAGTGCTGCTGTTCCTGAGGACACACATCAGTTCTCAACATTTACATTGGTCAGCTCATACCCACCTGTAACTCTGGCCTCACAGGACCCGTCACCCTCTGCTGGCCTCTGCAGGCGCCTGCACTCACACACATATATTCCCAGACAGGCACACACATAAAAGAAGAATTCTCAGCTGGGCGATATGGCACGCGCCTTTAGTCCCAGCACTTAGGAGGCAGATCTGTTGAGTTCAAGGCCAGCCTGGTTTACAGAGTAGTTCCAGGACAGCCAGAGCTACACAAAGAAACCTTTTCTCAAAACAAATAATCAAAAAAAATATTTTTTTAAGTAGAAGTTAAATCCCTGTGGTAGTAATGTGAAAATGTTATTAAAATCAGAAATAAATATGAAATTATTGGAAAGATAGGAGTGTAGACTTGGAAAGCATTAAGATTGGTGTGTGTGTGTGTGTGTGTGTGTGTGTTTTTGTGTTTGTATTTGTGTTTGTGTTTGCCTGAATGTATGTCTGTGCAGTGTCCTTGGAGGTCAGAAGTAGGAACCAGTTCCCCTAGGACTGGAGTTAACAACAGGTGGTTGTATATTGCCACTATGTGAGTGCTGGGAATTGAGCATGACTTCTGTGGAAGAGCAGCAAGTGCTCATAACTCCAGCCCTATTTTTGAAAATAAATTATTTTATTTTTGAGGGTCTCACTCTGTAGCCTTGACTGACCTTGAACTCACAGAGATCCTCTCCCTCCTGAGTGCTGCTGGTACTAAAGGCATTCGCCACCACGCCAGCCTTTGAAAACTCCTGAAAGGTGAGCAGGTGTTTCAGCAGATACAAGTGTTTGCCATAGAACCTACCTGCCTACGTGGGGAAAGGAGAGAACTGGCTCCCGAAGTTCTCTTGGTCATTCATATGCACATATGTGCACACACAGTAAACATAATAGAAGACATTTAACACAATAAATATAAAAACATTTAACACCAATATAAAATAAATGTTTAGAAAAAAGACGACTTACTGAGATTGTTGGCTCCATATTTATGCTTCTCATTTACTGGGTGAACTTAATATTTTATGATATTTATATATATATATACATATATATATATATATACACACACACACACCAGTTATTTTTCAAAAAGAACCATCAATTTGGACTACATTTATAAAACTATTTCTTAAAAATAACTTGGGGGAGGAGGCTAGAGAGATAAATATCTCAGTGATTAAGCTCTTTAAAAATAATAAAAGCATGGGTATGTGTGTGTTATGTATGTGTATACCCAGTGTCCACGGAGGCCAGACAAGTGCTTCTGATCCCCAGCAACTGAAGTTACAGTTATAAGGTGCCATGTGGTTGCTGGGAATTAAACCTGAGTCCTCTGCAAGAACAGCAGATGATGCACTGTTAGCATCTCTCCAGCCCTGGCTAAGAGTTCTTGCTGTACAATCATGAGGACAGGAATTAAGATCTAGCACTTGTGTAGCAACCTTGGCATCCTACATGTCTATAATTCCTCAAGAAAGGTGGAGACATAGGATCCTGAGTCTTCATAGCTTCCAGCCAAGCTGAGTAAATAAACTCTAGCTTCAGGGAAGACCCTGCTTCAAAGGAGTGGACAGAGATGGATGGAAAACAACACTCACTTTTGTTCCCAACGTGCATTCATTCACACACACGTGTACAAATATGCTCATGTAAGCATATCCATATACTTAAATAAATCTTTAACAAATAAATAACTTGGTCTATGTTGCAGTGGGTGTTAGAAAAAGGACTGTGCTAGTTCTGCTAGACCCAGGGAACAGAGTTCTCCAAGAGTGTGGATGACACTTCCCATTTATTCATGTGCAGCTTGGGAAATTTCAAGCTAATTAAGTCTTAGGTAGATATAAATCAAGTGTGTCCCCCAAAATAAATAAATAAAATTTAAAATACTTTGTCTGAAGACAGTGGGAAGGACACACATTGGGAGATGGAAGCCAAAGATTATAACCCTGGGTTTCATTCTCCAGAGGCCCTCCACTTTTTCCTTGATACATTCATTGACCTATAAATTCTCAAGTTCAGCCCAGGGATCCACCTGCTTTGCCCTCCCCCCAACTCCCTGTGCTGAGATTACGAGCTCGCACCACCACACCTGGCTTTTATCACACAAGTTTTAGGAGTTTTACTCAAGTTCCTGTGCTTGCAGGGAAGCATTTTACTGGCAACCATTCCCCAGCCCTGTATATAGCCTTCATTTTGTTTATATGGTGATTAGGGATGTTCTGAATGAAAGTGATTATGTATAAAAATAAATAAAACTATAATTGTTAGCTGATTACCACTAGCTAGTTTCCCTTTTCTGTTTGGTTAGATTTTTAACAGATCAAATTTTATTCTTGCATAAAAGTATACAGATCATGAGGGCTAGGAAGATGGTTCAGTGGGTAAATGGGGTAAATGGCTTGCTATTTCAGCATGGTGTAAGCATGGTGTTCTGAATTCAGATCTTCAGTACTTACATAAAAACCTGGATGAGACAGTGCATGTCTGTAATCCCAGCAGTGGGAGACATAGAGACAGGTAGATCTTGTGGGCTCATTGGCCCAGCCATAAAGCTAAAATGGGAAGGTCCAGGGTCAGTGAGAGACCCTGTCTCAAAAAATAGTGTGAAGGATGAGTGAAGAAGACAGCCAACCTCAGCATTTGGCTTTCACATGCACATAATGCTTAGGACGTGGACGTGATGAGCATGCATGTGCACACGTACATGCACCACACACAAAGTATGGAGATCATAAGTATATAACTCATCTATCTGATTGTGACATGTCCCAGCACACAGAAAGTTTCTCCTGCATTGGGAAGGTGGTTCAGTGAGTTAAAGCACTGACTGTGAAAGCCTGGTAGGTGGACTCGTTTTAAGTTCCAGAACTCACATAAAAAGCTGGATGTGGGGATTGGAGAGATGGCTCAGCGGTTAAGAGCATTGCCTGCTCTTCCAAAGGTCCTGAATTCAATTCCCAGCAACCACATGGTGGCTCACAACCATCTGTAATGAGGTCTGGTGCCCTCTTCTCGCCTGCAGGCATGCACACAGACAGAATATTGTATGATATATAGATAGATAGATAAAAGCTGAATGCAGAGGCTGAGGATATAGCTTAGTTGGTAGAATGTTTACCTAACAAGCATGAAACCCTGTGTTCAGTCCCTAGCACTGCATAAGGTCAGGTACAAACCTGTAATCCCAGAACTCAAGAGGTTGAAGCAGGAGGATCAAAAGTTACCATTGAGCACAGCGAGTTCCAGGCCAACTTGGAATACATGAGACCATGCCTAGAAGTAAAAAAGAAGCTGCATGTGGTGGTTCACATGTGTAATCCCAGCACTTCATGGAGAGATGGAAGGGAGAGACAGGAGACTGTAGGCTAGGAGCCTGTGGTGCACAGCACAGTAGTAGAAACAACATACCTGCCCCAAAGTAGAAGGCAAGAACTGACTCCTGAGGTTTCTTACACACACACACAAGCACCCAGTCACTGAGCATAAAATAAAAATAGAAAAAATGGTCCCTCATGCCCATGCCCAGTCTATTGATTTTTCCTCCCCTAAAGGGAACAAGTATCCTGGCTTCTGCAAGTGTATTTTACTTTTGGGTTATTTGCAGTTGGACGCTCTTATGAAAAGTTCAGTTAACAGTCTATAGATCATTGCTGTGTTTTGTTCATAGTGAAGTTGGGTATGTATTTGTTCATTTTACAAGGCTTTCCAGTTTGGTTATAACAAATGTTGTATTTAGTGCTAATACATGAGGTTTCCTGTTAGTATGTTCTTTGCCACCTGCCCTTTATCTTTTCCATCTGTGAAGTTTGAATTTTTTGCATACTCTTTATGGCCAGTAATACTGACCCAGACATCACCCCTCGACACACTCCAGGTTTTTGAAACAAGGTCTCACTATGTAACTCTGACTGACCTGGAACTTGCTATATAGGTCAGGCTGGCTTTGAACTCACAAAGCCTGCCTTTGCTTCCTGAGTGTTGGGATAAAGGTGTGAGCCACCACACCCAACTCTTTGGCCATTTTAATACAGTTCTGTTCTGTGACTTTGTTTGATTGTCATTTCCCTTGTCTTAGTTTTGATGTATTGTGGAGCATGTGCATTCTGGGCTTAGCTTTGTTTTACCAATTCTCTCTAGGTGGAATGAATGGCTGAATTACGACATATACATTCCTGATCTTCCTCGTGCTGCTCGCCTCTGCCTTTCCATTTGCTCTGTTAAAGGCCGAAAGGGTGCTAAGGAGGTAAAGTATCTCGGGTGAAATTATCTCTAGATGAGGCTACCTCCAGACGGGGAGATTTCTTCTTTTGTTTCTTGGTTTGAACTCATCCTGCCATGTATGTAACCCAGGTTCTCTTGAGCACCAAATTGTCTTTCTCATCCTCTCAAATGCAGATGGCAGGCATGTGCCACCATGCTGACTTTTTTTTTTAAAAAATAAAGTATTAATTAAAGCCTTGTAAGATATTAGTGGGTGTGTCTTTTAAGAATACAGTAGGAGAGCTTGAGAAATACATGGCTGGTGAATAAGTAGGTCCTGAGTTTATGTGTACTTCTTTAAGCATACTGGGTGCCTCCAAGAGTAACTACACACCTCACTCCTGTGCTGGAACTCCTGTCCACTTAAATAGAGAAAACACTGGGATTTCCAGTGGGAAAAGCACAGAAAACTCTGATATATTGGAAAGCCGTTGTGGCTTTGGTAGGCTCTGTATTTCTTTAACTATAGATATAGCTGTTGAATTCTCCAAGGGAAGAAGTGTGTTTGGAAATGTGTGATTTATTCACAGAATCGTGAATATTTTCTTTGTTTCATTAAGGAGCACTGTCCATTGGCCTGGGGAAATATAAACTTGTTTGATTACACAGACACCCTAGTGTCCGGGAAAATGGCTTTGAATCTCTGGCCTGTACCACATGGGTTAGAAGATCTGCTGAACCCTATTGGTGTTACTGGGTCAAATCCAAATAAAGTAAGCTTTTTATTATCAGAAATCAGTTTTCTTTATGACAGCTAAACATAACATGTATGCAATAACCTTTGTTCTTTCTTATAGGAAACTCCTTGCTTAGAGCTGGAGTTTGATTGGTTCAGCAGTGTGGTGAAGTTTCCCGACATGTCTGTGATTGAAGAGCATGCCAACTGGTCTGTGTCCCGAGAAGCTGGGTTCAGTTACTCTCATACAGGACTGGTGAGGCACACACCTGAATTTCTTTGTCTCTGCCAAAGTCTCTAGAGATAAGCACCTGCTTTGTGTCCATGAGAGTTGTGTAGCTCAGTCATCCTGGTGTGGACACTACTGAGCTCTGTTGTAGTAGCTCTGTTTTGTGGGTCACGAGCTCACAAAAAAATGACACAGAGACTTACTAATTATGAAAGTTTGGTCAATAGCTTAGGTTTGTTTTTTTAACTAGCTCTTATAACATAAATTAATCCATTTCTATTACTTTGCATGCTGCCACATGGCTAATGACTTGTTACCTCATCTCCTACATATCAAGCTTCCTCCTCATCTACCTAGCAACACTACTTTCTTCCCTGGCCAGCTATTGGCTGTTTATCTTTTTATTAAACCTGTCACAGTGACATGTCTTCATACAGTGTAAAGGAATACAACACTCTGTAGCAATGCCACAGTAGAGATCTTTTCTATAGCCTCCTGTCCTCCTGTACCTGTTTCTTCTTACTTTATTTGAAGCCCTGTTGAATGCTGCCGTGTATAAAACACTTGTATAGATGCTGTAATGAAGTTGTGGACTAAAGAGATGTCCAAGATCATACAGCATGTATGGTAAGGGCCGTGGAGAGGGATTGGGGAACAATAGTATCATAAGGGTAACTGAGGTTGGTAGAGCCCAGGAAAGGCCTCTCTGAGGAGTTGAAACTGAGTATAAACATGAGTTCTACTTGGAGGCAGCAGAAGCAACTCTTCATCACAAAATTTTAGTCCAGGTCTCCAGAAATAAAGTGTGGAAAACTGTTTACCTTGTTATCTAATGCTAACCGTAGCCTGAACACCAGAGCACCTCAGATCAAAGACCACTTACTCGTCGTGCTTATTTCCTGATGACAAAGAGTGGGTGCTCAGAGGTGCTTCCAGGAGGGTGCCCTCTCCACCTTTCCACACGGTGTGAAACCAGCTGACTAATGCTGGACTGAGGTTGGCAAGGGTGCCTGGCCAGGCACAATGAGAGCAGTGCCTAAGAACTTTGGAGGACATCTTGCTGCAACTGATTGTTTTCCTGTGTACACAGTATAAAAACAAAGCAAAAATAAGCAAGGAAAAAGCATCTCTTTTTTGAGTAATGGTAACACTTGGTGAAGGCTGAGGTTTTATGACTTGCAGAGTGTCTTATTTATTTTTATAGAATATATGGAAGTCTTTGCCATTTAGATAAGTAGGGAATGTTTCTAAGTGTAAGATAATTATGGAACTTTAGTTTTCCTAGATATTAAGGCATTTTTCTACTTCATTCCTTCCAGTCATCCTCAAAGAAGACTAAACTAATACAGAGATATAGAGGAGGGTATAATAGCCTGGAGAGTGCCGCAGGGAAGTACAGTCATTAGTCCGTCGCCCTCCTTTCCTCCCTGAATTGCCCAGTGTCTGTGACATGTTCTAAGAAGAGGATAGAGATTTAAATGAGTCTGCAAATACCAGCTTTGTAAAAAATTTTTCCTTGTGGTGTTTTAGACATTGACTGGACAGAAATTTTCACTCTCCCTACTTGGGATAGAAGTTATGAGGAAGCTGTTTCATCATTACTGGGGAAATTATGGGGTGTGGCAGCACTGTTTCTCAGCCTCAGCCCTGCTCTGAAGGCCACGTGCATCTATTTTGTAGATTATGCTGCATGTCACAGGGTGCTGACCCATATCTGTGGCCTCTGAACCACTAGACACAAACTGATGATTAAAAAGTTTCTCCAGATATAACTAAAGGTCCATGGGAGGTGGGAAATTACTCCACCTTAGAACCACAGCTTCACACTCTGATGTTGGTGAGATTTGTCTTGTAAACACAATGTCAAACAGTATACCTCCTCAGTAAAGAGGAAATGAGTGAAAGTATGTCCAGTGATAGACAAGGTCTACTTCTATCTAGTCAGTAATTCAGCTGAGTGCTGGTCAAGGAATGATTCCATTTCTATATTTTCTGTCAAAAACTTTGCCACATTTTCATAGTATTTCTTCCATGCTCCATGATGTGTGTGTAATACTGAGAGAATCACGAAAGCTAGGCTAAGGAGATGACTTGTTCTTGCAGAGGACTCATACTCCTAGCACCCATACATATCATGGCTCACAGCCAACTAAGTTCCAGGGGATCCAGTACCTTCATCTGACCTTTGCAGGCACCAGGCATGTACAAGGTACACAGCTATATATGCAGACGAAAAACATTCATATGCATAAAACATTTTTTAAAATATCTGAAACAGAAAATCAAAGAAGGGAAGACCTATTTTGGCTGATGTTTAGGGGTCTTTGTCCCTCATAGTGAGGAAGGCACACAGAGCAGCTCTGTGGTCGTGTTCCAGGGGGTGGCTGCTGGGAAAGGAAAGGGGGAGCCCTGAGCGCAGATACCCATCTCTCCCTTTGTTCTGTCAGATCTCCTCTCAGGGTAGTCACTCCTTCCTCTTTCCCAAAGCCGCTGTGTGCTTGACGAACCAAAGCTTTGCCAGTCCAGTCATGCTGACTGTCCAGACTAATCATTGCAATGCTGGGCATCAGCAGTGACTTGATATATTTCTCCATGAAGAATGCAGAAGGCAAATGTTTATACAGAGGCCTGTGAAAGGAAAAAGGTGATGCAGAATTCATTCCATGATCATGTGATTTACAAATGTAAATGTAAAATGGAATGTTTTTTATAATTGTTGAGCAAGAAAAATAACCATCTTGATGTCTTCCACAAAAGTATGAACCCTCAGTGTCAGACGTTGTTTTGACAGTGTTACAGTTTGACAAAGACATTTCAAAATGAAGCACATAGGAGAAAACTTTAAGTTTATTATGCTTAGATTCTTGTTAAAATATATAATAAAATGGGTTTTTCTGATTTTTCTGTAATTTTTTTATATTAACATATAAACATTTTAAAAACTATAAAAGCAATGGCATCTATTGGATGCTGATTATAGTAATGATGATAGTAAGACAGCAGGTTTCTCGTCTGTACCATGTAGTAACCTCCTGACTTCCCTTCTGCTTTAGAACAGCAGCAGAAACTATTACAAAACGTAGAATAAGCCATGGCATTCATCCCCTAGCTAGGATCACTAAAAGCATTCAGCCTGAGCTGCCAGTTTCACGTGTTGACCCCTCCTCTGCTCTGGTCCTCCCCTTAGCCATGGGCGTTTCTCACTGGCTTCTTCACCTTTAAAAAAACTCTCCTACTACATTGGGTTCTCTCTGAGTAGGATCTACTTTCTAAGCCTAACAGGAAGAACAAAGTAGGGCACAGCACACACAGAACCAATGCTTACTGAAGGGTTATGTCCTTCCTCATCCTGTTGTGTAGCTTCAGGATGCATCTATATATAAAGACCAACTAACACGGAGGACTCTTTGTTTATACTGTTCCAAAGGCTAGAGTATGGTACCTGTTTGTATAATAATCATCCATGGTATCTGTTCAGATGATCTATTACATCTCATTTTTTAATTGTGGGACGTATGTATGCATGCCTCAGCTTACCTGTGGATGTCAGAGACAACTTGATGGAGTTGGTTTTCTCCTTTGACCATGTGAGTGAATCCCAGGGATCAAACCCAGGCTGTCAGGCTTGACAGCAAGTGTCTTTATCCAGTCAGTGTGCCGTCTTACAGACCCTCTTGTTTTGTTTGTTTTATTTTTATATGATGACACTCTGGGATTATTTGGGTTGTTATTCAAAGACTCAGAAGCAACTAATTTGTATTTGAAGAGAATAAATCGATTACATGTGATTGTATAATGTTTGTTACTTTCTGCTTAGTTCTTCAATGTTGAACACACGGTACTTTAATGAGTTAATTCATCTTTTTTATCTTTCTTAATTTTTTTTTTAAACTTAAAAGCTTGCCAACAGTTACAAGGATGATTTAGCAAGGAACATGAAAGAGTTAGCATTTTTATTTTATTATTCTGCTGCTTCTGCCTCTGTTCTGCCAGATGCATTATCAAGCTGTAGTTAGTGGGGTGGTAGGGGGCCCCATCAGGGAGAGGATGAGCTGCCCCCTTCCCTTCATCCCGGTCTCACCTGACTGTTTGGTGGCCATAATAATCAGTGACTGCTTTGCTTCACAAATACTGTTTTAAATTGGTTCCGTGAGAAGGATAAATTATTTTCTGTTAGTAAGCTATGTGAGCTTTATTAAAAATTTATTTGTTTTTCAAAACATATCACTCATGAGTCTCAAAGAAACCTATGTAAAGTAATACTTTACTTTACAGAGTAACCGACTCGCCAGAGACAATGAACTAAGAGAAAATGACAAAGAACAGCTTCGAGCACTTTGCACCCGGGACCCACTGTCTGAAATCACTGAACAAGAGAAAGACTTCCTATGGAGCCACAGGCAAGTGTTTAGGATGATGGTCTCAAGGCAGGAAGCCAAGGGAATGATCAGCACTGTAACATGAGGAGCTGGCTTGTTGAGGTTTCTATCCCGCCTGGTACCCCACAGCTGGCATGCCCCAAAGAAAAATCACACAGAGGGCTCCATAAGATTATAAACTGATTGGCCCATTAGCTCAGGCTACTTATTAGCTCTTATAACTTATGTTAGCCCATTATATTTATCTATGTTAGCCACACGGCTCAGTACCTTTCTCAGCATGGCAGCTCACATGTTGCCTCTTCAGTGATCTGGGCAGGACTGTGGAGGGAGCTTCCTGTTTCCCAGAATACTCCCGTACTCTTTGCTCCACCTCTACTTCCTGTCTGGTTTTCCCGCCTATACTTCCTGTCTGGCCAATCAGCGTTTATTCAAAATAAACAGATTGACAGAATATAGACAATTCTCCCACACCACAGCATGGTCCTTCACTATAGTCCAAGCTGGAATTGAATTCACTGCATAGTCCAGCTGCCTCTATTCCTGAAAACCCTTCACCTCAGCCCACTTCCTGAGTGCTGGAATTACAGGTGTGACCCATCTATCACTTCTGGCTTGTTCTTGCCATATACAAACATACATACATATACATACATTTTAACTATACCCAGTAGAGAGTGAATAAAATGTATTTTTATTGTTATTTTTCTTATTAATGTTGACTTCAAAAGTATGGATATGGACATTTCTTTCTAGAGACATCATGCTGTGTTGATACTTAAACATTTAAAAGTTGTTTTGTTTTTGTCTTGTCTTTTTGTTGTTATTGGGGCAGGGTTGCAGCCCAAGCTGGCTTTGAGCTGTAGGTGAGGATGGCTTTTGAACTTCTGATCCTTCTGCCTCCACCTCCCAAGTACTAGGATTGCAGGTATGTCACCACACCTGGTTTACAAGGTACTAGGAATTGAGGTGAAGCCCAAGGCCTCATGCATGTTAGGAATACACTTTAGCAACCTGGGTATATCCCCATCCTCAAGCTTTTTAAATTCCTTATTAATAAATTACTGATGGAGGTTTAGTCTATAGCCTTCTACAAACTAAGCACATGCTCTACCACTCAGTTGTAGCCTCAGACTGACAGCTTGTTGTCTTAGATTTTTTTTTAAAGTAATATTCAAGCAGGAACACATACACATGCCTACATACATGCACATTTTAGACAAGCTTTCATGGCTTCATTGATTTAGGTGCTATATTTGGCAAGATCCTTTCCCCTTCTCTTTTAGGAAGAAAATAATGCCTTATTCTCACCTGTAAATCATGTTGCTGCTTGGAACACTAGTATATATTTTCTTTATTGCATTTTATTTATCATTGTGGAGTAAAGGTCACATGTGCCACAGTATACATGTGAAGGCCAGAGGATAGTCTGCAGAAGTCCACTCCCCATATCACTGTGGACACATCGGCTATCTTACTAGCTCCCCATACTGATGGAGTCTGTGAAGCACACACCCTGTCCAGTAAGCTCATGGGGGTCAAAGAGGTAAACAATTTGAGTGCCTGAAGAGCAGAGTGACACATGCATGATTGCTCTTAACTGTCAGCCAACATTTATCCTCCACTTGAATTCTTGGTCTGTATCATTTTAACTGTATCTGCATAGATGTGTAAATGTATATACAACCATAGTCTTCAATACAAGTTGGCTTTTCAGATAGGCTAATAATAATAATAAGCTTAAAACTTCTTATAGATGTATGATGGGGGAATTAGATGTTAGAACATCCTATAACATGTTCTTTATTGTCTTTCCCAACAGACACTACTGTGTAACTATTCCTGAAATCCTACCCAAGTTGCTTTTGTCTGTCAAGTGGAATTCCAGAGATGAAGTAGCCCAGGTGAGATCCTTTAGGTGTTCTCACAGAACCTGTATGTTCCCTAAATCATCAATTCTCAGATAATCTGCATTGACTTAGTATAAATTGTTATGGTCACATAATTAAGAAACACCAGCCATAATCATTTTATATATAAAACTAATTATTTATTTTTAAGAGGTAGGTGTGTGTATGTGTATGTGTGTGGTTTTTCGAGGCAGAGTTTCTCTGTAACAGCCTTGGCTATCTTTGATCTCTCTGCATAGACCAGGTTGGCCTCAAACACAGAGATCCTCTTGCCTCTGCCTCCCAAAGGAATGTGCCACCATGTTTGCCTTCAGACTAATTTTAAAGTCAAATGTTAAAGCTGTTTTATGTTTTACATCTCTGCCCACAGATGTACTGCTTAGTCAAAGACTGGCCTCCAATCAAGCCTGAGCAGGCCATGGAACTTCTGGACTGTAATTACCCGGATCCCATGGTTCGGAGTTTTGCCGTTCGGTGCTTAGAAAAATACTTAACAGATGACAAACTTTCTCAGTACCTCATTCAGCTCGTGCAGGTAAGACACTGGAAACTGAAAATATTTTACTCCATGTCTGTATAGCTTATCAAAGTAGTAGCATTAGTTTTATGCTTTTTTTAAAAAAAAATCTATTTATTACTAATGGTAGGATCTATTTTGTTTATAGCATTTTTTAAAAGTCCAGTCACACAGAAATGGGCCTGATTCATCTGAATTTTTGTTTTTGTTGTTTCTAATTTCTCAGGTCTTAAAATATGAACAATATTTGGATAACCTGCTTGTGAGATTTTTACTCAAGAAAGCGTTGACAAATCAAAGGATTGGCCATTTTTTCTTTTGGCATTTAAAGTAAGTCAGATTTTTTTTTCTACCAAATTTTTTTAGATATGTATAGCTTACCTCCCAAATACGTGCATGAATCTTGCTGCCTTGTCTGTCTGGAAAGCTGTTTCAAGCCTGTTCTTTTCTTTGGAATTAAATGAGAAACAGAAGCCATAACTGAATTCTGTACTGTTACTGCAAATATTTTCAAAGGTTTTGCTTCCACTTTAAGCCAAGTAAAATTTGCCAGATGCAAATTAATGTTGTGATAAGTTTCACTGTATGCATAGATAGCATTGTCTCGAAATGAGGGTCTTACCTTGGAATTCAGAACAGTTATGGCGGAATCCAACGTTTCTTGTTAGGAAATAAGCTTTAAAAAAGCAAGTGGATTTTGCAAGTGATCCCAGGACTTTGGGAAACTGAGGCAGGAGGATCACAATTACTAGGCCAACCCTTGCTCCAGAGAGGGAGAGGGAGGTTGGAGTCAGGGGTGAAAGAAGAAGAAGACTACTTTATACAGGTGATACAGCACTCAAAGTTGCCATAATCACGTAGATTTCAGGAAATTTAGAAACAGGTTTGTGTCTAGTGTGGCTTTTTTTGTTTGTTCGTTTTGTTTGTTTTTTAATAAAAGTTGGTATCTAGAGAAGCTGTGTTTAAAATGAGCATAGAAACAGAAACATGTGAACATGCTTCCTAGAGTCTCAGAACTCAGTGAGTTTTTACCTGCCTCGGTTTACTTTATTCTACTTTCCTGTTTTCTTCCTTTGTATCTTACATTGAAATTAGTAAATGAAAAGTAGCCAAAATAAATCTAAATCAGTAAAATACATAGTTGCTTATTAAATTATATGAGGCGAAGAACTACCTAAAACACTTGATCATTTTCTTCTAAATTGGTAGGTGTTTTAATCATTGTATTGTTGATTAAAACATTTATTGGGCTAGAAAATGAGTTTCCTATCTTCTGAGAACATGTATATGCTCATTTAAGGCTATATGTAAGTTGTTACCCGAATTAGAATCAAATCCGAGCACACTTTCTATCTGCATGTATTCAGTTTTCCTAGCATAGCCTCTTGGTCAAGATTACACTTGTCCAGATGCTTTGCTGATAGGGCTGAGTCAATGTCTCAGTGATGAGAGCACTGACTGCTCTTCCAGAGGACCTACATGACAGTACAGCAGTCTGTAACTATAGCTCCAGGAGATCCAGCATCCGCTTCCGGCCTCCACAAGTACTGAATACACATGGTACACAGACATATGCGCAGGCAAGCACCCGTATACATAAAATGAGCAAAAATTAGCAAAACCGTATATACACATAAATAAATCTTGCTTATTCCTTTAGATCTGAAATGCACAATAAGACTGTCAGTCAGAGGTTTGGCCTGCTGCTGGAGTCCTACTGCCGTGCCTGTGGGATGTATCTGAAGCACCTGAACAGACAAGTCGAGGCCATGGAGAAGCTCATCAACCTGACTGACATCCTCAAGCAGGAGAAGAAGGATGAGACACAAAAGGTATGTGAATGACTTTCCCCGTTGACTTTGGACTCTTGAAGTGGGCCTGAATTACTTAAAAGCCCAGTATACAAATAGATTGTGGTCCTTACAGTTTGGACTCAAATTCCACTGTCTGCCAACTTTGTGATTACATATATTATGTCGGGTCTATTTTCCTCAACTACAAAATAAAAATAATACTTTAAATACAGTGGTTGTGAGAAGGAAGTTGATCACATGACCTAAGCAAAGTTCCTGTCTCCTCTTTTGAACATAAGGGTGCCCACTGTGTACTCTGTTTATGGAACTGTAGTAATTAAATGGGCTTTTCTTATCTCATTTGTAATTTTGATAATGACTCTGAAAACAAGTAGTGAGTTTAACTGGACTCAGTAAACATCTGCTATACTCAAGGTTCCTAGGACCTTTTCCCATCCCTCTTCATTCATCACTGCCAGCTGAAAAGCAAACATTGCCTCCCCTTCAGTGAAACAGGAAAATCCATCCACCAGTGAGTCCCAAAGGCAAAGAACAGAAAAATAGCTTTTTTAAAGTTGAGCAATTAATCTAAAAAAAAAAAAGCTACTGTATTAATTTAGATTCCTTAAAATATGTGATTGAATTGACTCTTAAAGTTGTTTGGTATATAGATTCAAATATAGATTAGTAGTAAAGGTAGGGAAAGGCCAGGATTTAGCTGTTGGTGACATATGAATATGTGAATGATGTATGAGATAGGTAAGCGCACAAGTTCAGTTCTCAGCACCATATAAACCAGACTTGGTGTAGTGTGTGGTACATGGAAATAAATAAGTAAATAAATGTAAAAAGAAAGAAAAATTAAAAAGAAGTTCTGTTTCTGACATGGTGATTATGGACAGCTGGACTGCTTTGAGAAAAATAATTATATTGCAGTAGTTTGAAAAGCTTTACAGCAGATAGTTTGTTAAGTGCTAGCATTTCTTTGTGCTAGAGTCTTCATATCACACACTGACTTTGTACAGCAGTTTCATTAGGAAATTGGAGTTCATCATTCAGTGACTTGTCAGCTTAGATGAGATTCTGGTGAGGAACTGAAGTTCCACTCTGGAAATACGAACAGTTCCTGTGGGTAGCTGTGTGCTTATACTAGAGTATGAAGGCCCTGTGCTAATACTGGAGTAGACAGAGATCTCTTTCTTTTATTCCTTTACTCAAAAGCGCTGCCTAGTCAGTGGTAATGAGATTTTCTAGCCATTCACTTAATATAGAGAAATAGCTTCACTACTCAAATTCCAGTGGAAAAATTACAGCTTCCTAGCCTGTAGCTTTGGTTCTGTCACATTTTATATTTTCAATAAATGAAAGTTTCCTTAAAAACATATTAGGACTCCTTGGTAGTTCTGAGTTGATGGCTAAGCTAGATCTTCATAATGTAAACCGCATGGTGTGAGAGCCTGCACATCAAGTGGGTTCCAGGTCCTTTAATCCTCACGGGATCTTTTTACCTAACAGTGTGAATGCTTGAAGTTTTCCAAGAGGCCTTAAAAGTAAGAATATTAAATTCAGACCTAAAGTAGCCTGGTCTTTTTGTTTTTCTTCTCAAATAAGAATCAGCAGACTTCCTGATTGAAAGTCAAGTAAATACTTGACTTCTCAGATCACATAATCTGTCCTTACCTACTGAGCTCAGCTGTGAAAGCAACCAGTGTACAAATGGCAGGACAGTGTGTGTAATGCACCTTGATTTACAAAAGCCACAACTGGTCTGTAGGTAGTACTTGAATAAATACCTTGCTTAGAGCTGTGGAAGCTGGCAGAGCTTGTCTCCCAGAACCATACTCCCACCCTGATGCCTCCCTGACAATACTTCCGCGGTCATGGACATCACCAGAGTTAGCCCGGCCTAAGGATGGAGGCACTGCATTCTCAGTGTGTGAAGGAAGCAGCAGCTGCTTTTCCCACATGAAATCCACTTCTCACACGAATTGTGCTTTTTTATCAGGTACAGATGAAGTTTTTGGTTGAACAAATGAGACAGCCAGATTTCATGGATGCTCTGCAGGGTTTTCTGTCTCCTCTGAACCCTGCTCATCAACTAGGGAACCTCAGGTAAGGTTTTTACGTTTTTTATTGTCATGTTTAAACAAGTATGTTTCCAAACAAGTCTTAACAAAATCCGTTCCTCCAGTTCTTGTAAAACAGCAATAGTAAAAATAGGCCCAAACTATACCTGTCTTTATTTAGAATCAATTTCTGCTACTTTGATAATAGTTTAAATCTTTCTGTGGTTAGAAGTTGTGATACCATACACAGAAGTGGGAATGGTCTATATAAAACCAATGATGTTTGAAATTACATCATTATAATTTCATCTTAGATTGGTTGAAAATTTATGTAAGTATTTTTAAGATTACTTTCCTTTTGAAGAGTTTTAATTCTTGTAACACTTCAAAAAGCTATATTTTTTATGTCTTTAAAATAAACTCAAAGGACCAAAAGTATAAAAAACTAAAGTGCCTGGTAAAGTCTTCAACTGTCTTACAGGCTTGAAGAGTGTCGAATTATGTCGTCTGCAAAAAGGCCACTATGGTTGAATTGGGAGAACCCAGACATCATGTCAGAGCTACTGTTTCAGAACAATGAGATCATCTTTAAAAATGGCGATGGTGAGAGAGTGAGCTCATGCTGAGTAAATGTCGCTGTCTTTACATACAGGATAGTTATGAACCATGGGAACCTTTGAGAGCCATTTAAGGATTGCTGTATAAAGTGTAGAATATTAAAATGTCTCAGGTTTTGCAGTGTGCATGTGGAGGACTTTGGAAAGTGGGATATTGTGCTAAAATGACTTTGAACCCAGGACTTGGAGAGAGTAAGTATATGCAGGTACTTCTCAGCTCCCCTCATCTGACTTGTCATATATCTTAGCAACCAGGGAAATAACTGAAGGTTGACCCTTGTAATTCTAAGTCTAGTAATCCTTCCTAACACCGAAGTGAGTAGAAAAGCAAAAAATGACATACGTCTGCCCTCATTCATTCCTGGGGCGGACTACAGATTAAAATAGCAGAAGCCAGACTAACAGGAGAAAGAAAGCGTATCTGTATGCTTAAGAAATCACACAGAACAAGACCCCAAAGAAGTGGCTGAAGCTGGGTCCATCCTCCTGAAGTATCCTGAGGCTGACCTGGAGAAAGGCTGGCGTTCTAGAAGGGTGAAGGGGCAGAACTAAGATGAGTACAGGTGTTCTTGATACTCTGGCGAAACAGTCTTTCCATCAGAGTTGTTTGACACACAGCTATAGTTGCAACACTTGAGAGGTAAAGGCCAGACGTTCAAGGTCTACAGCTAAATATCCAATTCAAGGCTAGTCTGAGCTTCATGAGACCATGTTTCAAAAAAAAGAAAAAATGTTATCTCAAAAAAGTCCTTATGGGAATAGATGCCAATCTGTCAGGACCTAATCTCAACCTCCAGCTGACTATCAGCCTTCATAATTGAGGTGGAAGTTGATCTCCTTCAGAATCAGGAGCCCTGGAGTCAGTATCTGCCTTGACTTACTTCATGTGTGCATGGGTGGCTTGCATAGCATCCATTCCTTAATTATTCTGTGTGCTGGACCCTGGGACCATGGCAGAGCCTGCGTCTTGTAGCTTAAAGTATGTCTGGGCAAAGAATATTCAACAGATAATGACAACAATGAAAGAACCACAGACAAAGAATGTATTTACTCATCTGAGAAACTGTTTTAAAGAAGGCCCTCATGTATGTGGAGAAAGGGCTACGGGAATGGGGAGACTCAGCAGTGGCTCCTCAGAACAGCGAACTCAGCAGTGAGTGCTGTTGACCTCAGCATTGTATCACAGGCCACACTCACACTGGATTCTAAACAGTAAATATTGTAAATATAGTTGGAACTTTTTCAGTACCTTGTCATTACCCAAATGATTATGCAGATAGTTTAGAAGTAGATTAAAAACTTAAAACTGTCTTTTTAATTATTTTAAAGATTAAATATAGTTCTTTCTGACAACAGTGTTGATATGGTATTAAGTGATATGGTATTAATTTTTGAATTTCAGATTTGCGGCAAGATATGTTAACACTTCAGATCATCCGAATTATGGAGAACATTTGGCAAAACCAAGGCCTTGACCTTCGGTAGGTAATCAGAGCATGGAATGAAAATTATCTTAAGAGAATGAACTAAAGTCTTAATGAAAATATCCTTTATTTATTTATTTATTTGAGACAGGGTTTCTCTGTAACAGCTCTTGGCTGTCTTAGAACTTTGTTTTGTAGACTTAACTCACAGAGATGCACTTGTCTCTCTATCTTGAGTACTGGAATTTAAGGTATGTGCCTCCACTGCCCAATAAAGTCTTAATGGTAGAAGTCTAGAAGCTTATATTAAAAATATTTACAAAATCGAAAATAAAAAGTGGACATCATCTCTGTCACTGTTCTGTTCCTGTGAAGAGACAGCACAACCAAGACAGTTCTGAAAGGAAGCACCTAATGGGTGGAGGCTGTAACTTACAACTTTAGAGGTTTATTCCGTTATCACAGCAGAAAGCAGACAGGCATGGTGCTGGAGCAATAGCTGAGAGCTTTACATCTCTATCTCCCTCCCAGCCAGCACAGAGACACTGAACTTTTGAAACCTCAAAGCCCACACCTAGTGACACATCCCCTCCAAGAAGGCCACACTGCTAATCCTTCCCAAGCAGTTCACCAACTGGGGACCAAGCATGCAAATATATGAGCCTCTAGGAGTGGTTCTCCTCCAGCACCACAGTCCACTCACCGTCCCCATAGGCTTACATGTTATCCATTTAGTCCCATAGTCTCCATGGTCTTTTACCATCTCAGTACTGTTTAAAAGTCCAAAGACTCTTCTGAGAAAAGCCAATCTCTAACTGTGCCCCCTGTAAAATCGAAGAGAAGATGACATACTTTCAACATAAAATAGCACAGTGTATGCCCTGTCATTCTAGAAAGAAGGAAGGTAGCATAGTCAGGGAATACTGGACCAAAGCAAGGCTGAAAACCAGCAGGGAGACTCCAGATCTGTATCTCCGTGTCTGATGTCAAAATTCTCTTCAGATCTTCAGCTCCTTTCAGCTCTTACCACAGAAAAAAGCACTTCAGAGCCCTGCATCTGTCAGCGCCATGGCTCCACCTTGACTGCAGGCACTGCTTATCTCTTTTTAATACTCAGTATAACAAGATAGAACTCCCTAAAATCACTTCTTCTGCATCCCAAACACGGCTAGGTCATAGATGAGCATTTCTGGATGGAAGTTGTAAAACTAGCTGCTTTTTCATGAAATACTATTTTTATTTTAAAACAAACTGATGACAAAGTATAGGTACTTGTGTTTAAGCCTTGCAGTCAGAAGATTAAGGAGGGGAATCCACAGTTAAGGCCAACCTGACTACCTAACAAGACCAGGGCCATCATGGGCTACATAGCAAATCTCTATAACAAAAACACGAAAGCAGAAACATCTAATGGACAAGGCATAATTAAGTTAGGCTCGTTGGCAGGTGTTTTCATTAAAAATGAACCCCCTCATGTGCCTCTCATAGGAAAACTATGGCAGTATTTATTGCCAGTGATAAAATTTGAATTTTAGAGGGAAAAATTAGATTTGTGGAAAACGCATTTATTAGTATTCCCCAATTTAGACTTTTCTGAATGAGATTAGTGGTAGCATTAACAACTTTGATTGGGCATGGTTTGCATGCCTGTAACCCCGTATTTGAGAGACTAAGGCAGGAGGATTGGCAAGAGTTCAGCAGACTTGACTTTCCAGGGAAGAGTACCAGGCTAGCCTGGGCTACTCAGCAAGACCATAGCTCAAAAAACAAACCAAAAAAATAATATATTTTATTATTTATTATGCCATAATAAAAAAAGAACCAGCATTTAGAAAATATGAAACTTACAAGCCATGATATCTTCTAAGTGACGTATACAGGAACACATAATGTCCTTAATGTTAAAACACACATTGAGACACAAGTCAATTTAGATGTAAAAGCATGAAGTTTATTAGTACAGTTTTATAGTCCACATTGCAAATTGAATATTTTATTAATTATAGAATAGTATCAAAAAAATCACTTTGTTCTTCCTTTTCCTGTCTGCTTGTATGTAGATGTTTCTTCATGTGCTTAATTAAAGCATCATGTATAAAACTTAAGAGTGATGGCACATACCTGTAACCCATACATTCAGGAAGCTGAGGCAGGGAGATCTTGAGTTTGAGGCCAGCCTAAACCACAAGGCAAGACCTTGTTTCAAAAAGAATAACAAAACAAACATCAACATAAGAAAAACTGTTCAAGTCTGTTACTTATAGAAATGTAAGTAACACAGCTGGCATGGGGCTAGAGAGATGGGGTCAGTGTTTAATAGTAATTGCTAATCTTTATTGGGTTCCCAGCTTCCACGTGGCAGCTCATAACTCTGTAACTCAAGTTGCAGGGGATCTGATGCCCTTTTCTAATCTCTGCATGTTCATGCATGCGTGTGATGCATGTGAACTCAGACTGGCGCCTATATACATGTTGTGTGGGGGAAGCGGGCCATGTTCCGTTGCCTGGCTAGCTTAACCCCCAAAATAACCACACAGAAATTGTATTAATTAAATCATTGCCTGGCCCATTATGTCTAGTCTCTTATTGACAAACACTCACATCTTGATTAGCCCATTTCTATTAAATCTGTGTGTCACCTACCAGGAAAGATTCAGCATGTCTGACCTGGCATCTCCATGGTGTCCCTCTGACTCTCCTTCTTCCCAGCATCCAGTTCTGTCTACTCCGCCTACCTAAGTGCTGCCCTATCAAAAGGCCAAGGCAGTTTCTTTATTCAACCAATGAAAGCAACACATAGACAGAAGAACCTCCTATACCACATACACATAAAAATAATCAGTGGATGAATAAATCTTAATTTTTGAGACAGGGTGTGTCTGTTTGTTTGTTTTGTTTGTTTGTTTGTGACAGGGTTTCTCTTTGTAGCAATCTTAGCTGTCCTGGAACTAGCTCTTATAGACCAAGCTGGCCTCGAACTCACAGAGATCCACCTGCCTTTGCCTTCAATGTGCTGGAATTAAAGGCATGCATCACCACCGCCCGGCACGAATAAATCTTTTTTTTAAAAACAGTTGGCCATCAAAGCCAAACATAAAAACATTTTGAAGAAAAAAAATGTGACAGGCAGTTTTTCACTTTTTTTTTAACAGACTTGATTCACTTTTATTTTTCTTGTATAAAAACCCTTATGTGGTGGCCACAGCTGGAGCCTGGGTCCTCTGAACAGAGACTCTGGTGTGGGTTTTCACAAGATGGTCAGTGAATTCCTGATAAGGAGACTTGGTGAACACAGTCTCTTTCCAGAGGTCAGGGGTCAAGTAGCTGTAGGTCTTAGAGATGGCATCAAAGGTGGCCTTGGCACAGTTGCCCAGGGTGGCAGTGCAGCCCCTGGCTGATGTGTAGCAGTCATCAATGCCAGCCATCATTAGTAGCTTCTTGGGCACAGGAGCGGAGACTATGCCAGTGCCTCTGGGGGCAGGAATGAGACGCACCAGCACAGAACCACAGCGGCCTGTAACTTGCAAGGCACAGTGTGGGGCTTGCCAATCTTGTTCCCCCAGTAGCCTCTCGGCACAGGGACAATGGAAAGCTTGGCCAAGGTGATGGCCCCTCGGATGGCAGTGGCTACCTCCTTGGAGCACTTAACACTGAGACCTACGTGACCATTGTAGTCCCCAATAGCGACGAAAGCCATGAACCTGGTCCACTGGCCTGCCCTAGTCTGCTTCTGAACGGGTATGATCTTTAGAACCTCATCCTTTAGGGACGCTCCCAGGAAAAAGTCAATGATCTCGGACTCCTTAATGGGCAGAGAGAACAGGTAGATCTCCTCTAGGGACTTGATTTTCATGTCCTTAACCAGGCGGCCCAGCTTGGTGACAGGAATCCACTCCCTGTCTTCAGCTTTACCTCCGCAAGCCCCGGCCCTTCAGACCTCTGCCGAATCCTCCACGGAAGCTGCCACAGCCTCCTAATCCTGGCATTATCCGCCATTGGTGTTTTCCAGAAGAAGAAGCCACTTTTTTTTTTTTTTGCATTTATTTGTTTTATGTGTACAAATGTTCTGCCAGCATGTGTGTTGATGCACCACGTGCGTGCCTGGAAGGATCTTCAGGAACTGGAGTTACAGGTGGCTGTGAGCTATCATGTGGGTGCTGGGAACCAAACCTGAGTCCTCTGAAAGAGCAACCAGTGCTCTTAACTGCAGGTCCATTTATCTCTCCAGCCTCCCTCACTGCTTTTTTAGGATAAATTATTTTGTTCCATAAGAAATGATCTGTTAATGCACAATGATTTGATTTTAGCTGAACTCATACATTTTTAAGAATAGGTTTGTCAATATAAAAAAGAAAATAAAGAGAAATAAGCTAAGACATAAAGGTCGTTCTTGTTAAATTTACTAATTTAATATAGATATTTTTGGCCTACTAGAATATTTGCAGTTTTATTAAACAAAGATGTCAGCAGTAAACATGCTAACATGGAAGAGGAAAGTCACCTGAGACCTCAGTCCTAAACAAAGATCACAGACAGCTACGGAAATCTGAAAGTGAGAGGCCATTTTCCCAGGGGAGACCCCTCATTTGATTACCATCAGTACCACATGGTCTGCCCTGAAAACAGACATACAGGTGACATTTTGTATATAGAGAACAGGTTGTACTTACATATTTAGGAAGATTGTGTGCGTGCATATGTGTATCAACAAAGAAATGAAGAAGCCAGGATTTAAGACAGAACAAGAGACTATGCATGAAAGGATTAAAGAAAGGGAGAGAGTTGGGGATTTAATTTCAATCAAAAACATTTACTGTTTTAAAGTCCCGCCTTTGTCAATTTTCCAGAATGCTACCTTACGGCTGTCTCTCCATTGGGGACTGTGTGGGGCTTATCGAAGTGGTGAGGAACTCTCACACCATCATGCAGATCCAGTGCAAAGGAGGCCTGAAGGGGGCGCTGCAGTTCAACAGTCACACACTGCATCAGTGGCTCAAGGACAAGAACAAGGGCGAGATGTGAGTTTGCTCCTGAGTTTGTTACGTGCTAGTGGCTGGCTCAGTGGACCTCTTGGCTAAGGAGAAAACCACTGTGGTCAGGAAAAATGCACATCCCTTTTGAAGTAGTGAAGGCTGTTGTGAGTGAACGAGAGAATTGCTTATGGTTTGATGGGTCCTCATTCACCTTGTATCTCACATCCTCTTACTCTTAATCATAGACAAAACGAACATTTGGTGGTGCAGCAATTAAGAGTGCATGTTCCTTTCCTGGAGGACTCAGCCTCCAGAACCCATAATGGAGTGCCTTAGACCACCTCCAGGGAGTCTAGTGGCCTGTTCTTGTCTCCAGGACACCGTAACTCGGATGCACATGCCCATGCGTGGATAGATACTTAAAAGTAGAATAGATCTTACTCAAAAAATAATATACATTCAAAATTTTACTTCTCATTTGTTAAAAATGTTGTTTTAGAAAATAATTTTCAACACTATCAATAATGGCACATGCATGCCTTAATCCCAGCATTTAAGAGACAGAAGCAGGTGGATCTTTAAATAGCAGACCAGCCTAAGCTACACAGAGAGGCAGAGGCAGAAGCAGGTAGATACCTCTTGAATGTGAGGTCAGCCTAGACTACATAGTCAGTTCCAGGCTAGCCAGGGCTATATAGTGAGACCCTTAAAAAAAAATTAATTTTCTCCTGCAGATTGTGGCTTATCCCAGCACCCAAGAGGCTAACCCAGGAAGATTGTTGTATGCTGTGAGTTCAAGGCCAGCCTGGGTTCATTGTAAGACCCTATCTCAGAATAACAGAAAAATTGGGGGCTGGAGAGGTGACAATTAATGACCTACTTTTGCACAAGCATAAAGACCAAAATTCAATCTCTAGCACCCTTATAAAACTTTGTGGTATGGGTCTTTAGCCTGGTGCTTGAGGCAGGAAGCCAGGACAGCTCTGTCTTAGGGGCTGCCTGGCAGTGAGTCCCGGTTCAGTGAGAGGCATTATCTCAAAAACTAAGGTGGAGAGATGCTAAAGAGAGGCTCGGAGGTTAAGAGCTGTGCTGTCCTCCCAGCACCCACACTGACAGTTGTGCCGCTCGTCTCCAGCTCCAGGGGGTCCGACCCTCTTTTGATCCCCAAAGACGTGGGTCCAGTCACACAAAAATTTACATAAGTCAGAATCCTTAAATGAATAAGACGGTGAGTAACAGAAGGCACCAGTGTTGACCTCTGACCTTGGCACATGCACACACACATACCACGGGGAGGGAATTATGGATGTTTCTTTCCTTCTGGTTAGAATTAAGCTTAGGTCAAGGAACATCTAAAAATTTTCTTGAAACTTGATTCTTCTTTGAAGAAGAATCTCAAAACTTCTCAGGTCTTCAGACATTGATTTCCCCCAATGTTAATGTGAAACTTCAGCCATTTTTCCCCAGCTACACTGTTTCCACAACACCCATGAGGTGTTTGTTTCTTTCTGTAGATATGACGCAGCCATTGACCTGTTCACGAGGTCGTGTGCTGGGTACTGTGTGGCAACTTTCATCTTGGGAATTGGAGACCGGCACAATAGCAACATCATGGTGAAAGACGATGGACAGGTAGTAACATGCTTTCAGGTTCTTTAAATGTATTGAGTCAAGGTCTTTTATATCTGCATATTAAACTAAAATATAATTTCTTATTTCTGAAAGCTGTTTCATATAGATTTTGGGCACTTTTTGGATCACAAGAAGAAAAAATTTGGTTATAAACGGGAACGTGTGCCGTTTGTTTTGACTCAAGATTTCTTAATAGTGATTAGTAAAGGAGCCCAGGAGTACACAAAGACCAGAGAGTTTGAGAGGTGAGCTCGGAGTGGGTGGGGAGGCGCCTGCAGCACAGCAGGTCTATACTCTGTGCTTCAGAGCAGTGGGTATCAGCTGGAGACGCCCAAGGATCCAGCGGCTTTGGTTTTACTCATTTGTCTGATATGAGGGAGGGGGAAAAAGAGGTGGAAATGAAAGCTGATTTCATTCATCGAGCTAAGACCTACAAAGAAAGTAACCCTTAAACCTTAGGACACACTGAAATTATTGGCTATTGTTAAAGTAATTAACTTTATCTTGTCAAAAACATGTAGTGTGGTTAGGATGTGGGTTTTGATCCTAATTGGAGGAAAGTTAGCAAACTATTAACTCTTGTGCATGCTTATTCTTCTTCCTGCCACCTTGTTCTACATGTTAGTCTGTCTTAGATTTCAAAAGACTTTTATAAGATTCTGTTCTGTGTATAAGTCAGTCCCGATTTTAGGTGCCCAAGCCCTTGAGATGTTACTTTAGTATAGACCAATTCAGGCTTTTGATAAATACTAAACCCCAGTGTTCCAAGCAGTATGTCAGGTGCTTGGCAGGCAATAAAGTACTTGTGCATAGAGTACACATTCTAGAATGGTGTGAGCCAGGGGAGCAGGAAGAGGAATAGTAGTTTTTAGACCCTCACCCAAGGCAAGTGTGCTAATTCTGTGAAGTCAGTACTAGTTCGTGCACTGACCAGATGTTCTTCCCACTTGCAGGTTTCAGGAGATGTGTTATAAGGCTTACCTAGCAATTCGGCAGCATGCCAATCTCTTCATCAACCTTTTCTCAATGATGCTTGGCTCTGGAATGCCGGAACTGCAGTCTTTTGATGACATTGCGTACATTCGAAAGACTCTAGCCTTAGACAAAACTGAGCAAGAGGCTTTGGAGTATTTCACAAAACAAATGAACGATGCACACCACGGCGGCTGGACAACAAAAATGGATTGGATCTTCCACACCATCAAGCAGCATGCCTTGAACTGAGATGGGAGCTGGGAACTGCAAGCTGGCGCATTGTTTCTCCACTGCATGGCAGTGAGTGACAACAGGCAGATGGTGGCACGGGGATGGCACAGTCAGGAACAACATGCTCTATAATTGAAACACTGTACACGCAAACAGGGTTCGATAGCACTAAACTAGTTCATCTCAGAATCCAGCTTTAGAATAACGAGCAATTTCATGTTATGCCTTAAGTCCAAAAAAAGGTAAACTTTGAAGATTGTTTGTATCTTTTTTTAAAAAAACAAAACAAAACAAAAATCCCCAAAATACATACAAATGATGGAGACGAAAAGAGAATGCTGTTCTGTTTGTCTTGCCAGGGTTCTGTTTACAATGTGGACACAACCAAGGCTGTGACTGCTTTAGGTCTGAGTAAGCTGGAGTTTATATTAAGTAAATGAAATTGGAGAAGAATGGAAATCCCTATTTTCCCATTGCTGTTCAGACTTATGGTTTGAAGTGGGGATTTTGACTCCCTGCTTAATGAGGAACAACATTTGGGGTGAAGGGACTCGTTTTTTGCTTTGAACAAGCAGCCCTTTGATGGACTTGGGGTCTCCCCTGTGGTTGGGAAAGCAGTCACAAGTGACAACCTGCAGACAGCTGTGTTCTTGTTGGGTTTTGGTTTTTGTTGTTTTTTTCTGGACAGTATTTACAAGGATCTGACTTATTTCCTAGGGAAATTCTGGGCTGACATCAAGTACAGCAGTGATGTAGAGGAGGCCAGCAGGGCTCCTGTTTCTGACCTGTACAGTATTCACTTTGAGCTGATTGTTTCTTCTTTGCAATTGAACTGAGTACTTTTTTCATGCATGTTTTCCAGAAAATAGAAGTGAGTATTAATGTTATTAAAAAGATTATTTTTTTTTATTAAAGGCTATTTATATTATAGAAACTATCATTAATATATATTCTTTATTTACATAATCTGTCCCATAGTCATGCATTGTTTTGCACCCCAAATTTTTTATCGTTGGTAACAGCATGGTTAGCTTTTCTCTTGGTCTGTAGATGAGGCTCAGGCACTATTCCATTTATCCAGATCCCCTGTATGACTCCCTAAGGAACAGGTTGAGCTGCACACGCTTTCCTTCCACTGCTGTCCGTTTTCACCCAATGCCCTCATCGTCCATTCATCTGTAGTTGAGAATGGCACACCCCTCTGAAACCAGTTACTAGATGAATACAAAGTAGACTATCATCCTGACTCTTAAGCCCTCTGCTGAGGTCTGCTCATGAATGACTTTTATATTATGAGAGACTAGAAACCATGAATTTTTTTTTACCTTCGTGAGCTATGTATTCATATCTCAATGATAAAAGTAAGGACATTAACCCACTTTACTATCATGTCCCATTTCAAAGTGGTCAGGTCTCACACCAACTTCATTATTACATCCCGCACAGAGTGCAATATTGAGCATTCTGAAATCATCCATCTAAGATGTAGGGCTAATGTTAGTGGTCACTCTAGATTTCTACTCAGTGTTTGAATGATTCCTGTCCTAGAAAATAGCTTTAGCAGATGTTCAGATGCCACACCAAAAAAAAAAAAGAAAAAAAGTGAAAAAAAAGAATAAATAAAAAGAAAAAAAGAAAAAATGTGCAATAATTTCCTGACAGTTCCTAGCTTAGGTGTGTTCCTGGAGAGCCTCTTTACGAAGAGTGCACACGTACACTCTACAGCAGCAGCATCCCTTTGAAGCACTCGTCTGTGAGGCCAGACACCTAGAGTAGAAGTTCTGAATAGTAAATGGGACTCTAATAAAAATACTCTTAATATCTGGCTATTTTAGAACCCTTAAAGGGCATAATTATTGAAGATTTAGGTACTTCACTAAAGCATGTATATATTATTGCCAACAAGAAAACCTGAATATTAGGGGAACTTAGTTCTGTAAACTGTCTTGGAATAGTTAATCAAAATTTAAACTGTTTTAAGCAGAAAACCAGATAGATTCTTTTGCAGATATAGAAAACTTCCTAACTTATTTACTTGGCATTTAACACTTTGTGTTACTTAGATATGCAGTTGCTAGGTACTAACATCCCATTCTTTTCTATATCAGGGATTATTACAGTCAAACTCAGTGACATGGTACAAATCTACAGCTTTGATGGTGGGAACTGAAGAGTTACAAAAAGAACTGTGTTTTCCTGAGTGCCAAAACAAAAACAAAAAACAAAAGCCGTGAGCCTCCTTGCACAAAATTGGTAGTTTTTGCCTTTTTTTTTTGCATTAGTTCAAGTAGTTACCACCTTCTAGAGTCTCTACACAGTTAAAACACAACCACCTAGCTTACTATGCCATTGTCAACCACATTAATTGTACTGACAGAAAATCTATGTTCTATAAAGGATATAAGTAAAGAAAGAAAGGAGAATGGTTTGTATTAAAAAAGACTAAAACTCAAATCGAAATTGGGGTGATCAAAATGTGTTTCCAGCAAGCAATAATGTGCCACTCCCAGGTGCTCGAGAACCAGAAGGCCCTGTGGAGCAATCACCTCTGTAAATGGTATCCTTGTCATTGAATATTGTGTCAATCTTGACTTTGGCTCCATATTTCACTAAGTCACTTGAGGATGTTTCGTCAGTAATTATTTCTGAAAGGAGAGAGAGCAAATCTAAAGAAACTAAGTAGACGGTAGCGAGAAGTACCTGCAGTCATGCTCTCACTCTCACCGTCTCAGCGATACAAAGCCTTTAGTTTGAAGATTTTTAGACTGCTGTTAATTTGAAATCTGTTCATCTTACTGTGGAGTTTGATTTGTCTGTTTGTTTGCTTTCTGTTTGTTTTTAAAAATGTTTCTAATTAGAGTTTTTACAAGAAGAATGGAATCTGGTTGCTATTTTATCGTAGAACCTGAGACTTTGTGGTTCTTCATGTCCTCTGTAAAACTTGGTGTCAGAGTCATCAGATTTGAGGTTGTCCCTTCTACTCTGCTTTATATTACTGCCCATCAGGAAATGGGAGCCTGGTGAATATATAATGAATTGTAAAATATTTTAATGTGTAACTTTTTCAACTGTGAAACTGACTCGGGTTTTTTTGATGAAAACAGCTGCTGATAAAGTATTTTGTGTAAAGTGTAGTTCTTATTAATCAGGAAGTAATGGCTTGGTTAGATGTATGTGCCCCCTTGAACTTTATCTTACACAGGTTGGTAATCATCATAGGTAGAGCACGGCCCATGTGTGTTCTGTGCCCATCAGGAGATGAATGGTATTACAGAAAAGATGAGGAGCCTGTCTTAAGGGCACAGTGGAAACTCACAGCACATGACCCGCGGGTTGCTCCTTAGCGTACTTTCTGTAAATCTGTTTGATTTGTAGTTTGGTCACGAGTCCATGCCTGCCAGCTCTTAGAAGAAATGTAATTTCCAGCAATATGTTACACCTAGTATGTTAATCTTTTCTGAATATTAGAGTGTCCACTTATTTCTATGTCCCTGCAAGCTGCAGACCTAGACTGGACCCACACACTCAAGAATCCACCTTAAGAGTTATTCTGATGTCCATGACATCGCTAAAGCAGCAAGTTCAAAGGCGGTTTGTGGCATTACGGGCTCTGCTGCTTCTGCTCCAGATGTTTGGGGAGGGGGGATGAAGGAGGGGTCTGAGCAGGGGAAGCTCGGAGGGGCTGGAAGTTATGGGGATGTATCGCACATACTAGAATCACATCCAGCTCAGAATTTGGAAAGCTGATCTCAGTCTTGACAGCATCTTTAATTAGTAACTCTTGGTGGCAGAGCAGTACAACTGAGCTGTTTTAAACAGACAAAGGCATTGCAGTGAGTAAGACTGTAAACTGATCTGTGTCATGTCCTGGGCAGCCTTTATTTCTTTTATCTTGTTTATAAAAATTTGTTTTTACTCTCTGTAAAGATGTTGGGCTCTAGCGCAGAATTGTGCTCCTGGTAAACCTGATAACTCTTGTCTCCAAAGGTTCATAAGTGGGACAGCTAAGTTGCCATTCTGTGCCTCAGGTCTCACAACACAGAGACTCTGTAGGGCTCTGCCATTTTTATATTTGCAAGTCAGACTTGGCATGCCTTACAGTTCGGGGGGTGGGGGGGTGCTAAAATTTCATGGCTCCAGCCTTCTGCAAAAGCCATGCAGTCAGGGCAACCTGTGGTGCTAGTTCTTGGTCTGGCATCCACAACTCTGTTAATCTCTTAGTGTTTTGTTAGCACAGGCTAACACATGGAAAGGTTCTAAAGTTCAGAAGGGCCTTGAGGTTATTAGGAGTCACCCAGGTTGTAGGGGCACTCTTGAGTTTGTGTGAAATTTTCATTTGGTGGAGGTTATGCATCTCTGTCTTACTATGCAGTGCCTTTTCTTTTGCTTGGCTTTTGGGTATGATGGGTCTCAGCTGTGTGCTAGTTAGAGCAGTGGGAATGGAACTGGAAGGGGATTCTCTCTCAGGTATCAGGGGAAAAAAAATGTTTGTTGGCAGGCAGGATTAAAATGAATCTCGTAGTGTATTGTGTAGGCTGATTTTCACTACTAACAGTAGATTCCATTCATATTACTAAGTACAAAAAAACCATTTTATAAGCCAAGTAGACTTGTCTAGCCTCATCTAATATATCACAGTAATAATTGTGTGACAGAATGGTGTGTATTTCTAGGTGTTGTTTTTTGTGGGTCTGGTTTAGCGGGGAGGCAAACAACCTTCAGTGTTTCCTCCTGAAGTATGGGAATGTGGCTCAGTTGTTGGAGGGCCTGACAAGTATGCATGGAGTCCTGGGCTTGAGCCTCAGCACTGTATAAAAGGGATGCTGACACTCACCTGTAACCCCAGCACTAGGGAGGTCAAGGCAGGAAGATCACAAGTTCAAGGTCGTCCTCAGCTGAATTAGTAAGTTCAGAGCCATCCTAGGATATTTGGGTCTCTAAAACATCGAGTATGAATTTCCAAATGTAGTTATTTCTGTTGGTTCATAAAAAAAATCGTTTGTCGGGTTTTATATATGTTCCTAAGAATATACTGGAAAAAGTAGCTTTTATCTGATTTCTAGGAATGTTTTTGATTATGGAACCCAAAGGAATTTGTTGTGGTGACAGTAGTATTTTAGGGTTTTGTCATTTGTTGGTACAAAGTCTTAACTGTGTAGTCCAGACTGCCCTCAAACTTAAGATCCTCTAGTCTTAGCTCCATAGCACCGAGGATACAGGTGATGCACCCCCTTTACTCCCAGGCTCCATAGCGCTGA